CAAAATACAATAACAAAATGCAGAAAAAAGAAATATTTCAAAAAGAAGCCACGCTTCAATAAACGACCGACTTTTCTCACACAAGTTTTTTTTTTTATTATTAAAATTGAATTTGCTTCTGATGTCTTTTTTGTTTTTGTTTTSTTGTTGTTGCAATTTGTCAATTTGTCAATTTGCCGTTGCCAATCAATTCGACTACTCAGTCAATTGGTCAAGTGCTGACCGCCAATCGTTGTTGTTTTTTGTTGTATTTTCTGTTTATTTGTAATCAAAGCTCATTTGAATTCAGTTTGCATGTTTTTATGAAATCACAGACACATACTCAACGAAACACTGCGAGAAATTGCAGTACGTCTAATTGAAAATAAATTGCTATGCAAATTATAGAAAATATATTAAAGAACTCAGAGAATTGTTTTTGTATAAGATTTGTTAAAGATTTTTGTTTTAAAGTTTCACAATTGCACTGAGAGAAATTGAAAGTTGCTATAAGATTTATTGAATTTAGTCTCATATTTTATAGAGTTTATAGCACGTAGGCTTAAATAATTTTGCTTCACAGTAAACAGCAAACAGTAGCTAAGAGCATTTTAAGACACTGAGAGAAATTAAGTGCTAATTATATTTAGTAAATATCCAAGAACTTTTTGACAGTAATATTTCATATTCTAATCTCTTGCACCACTGTAACCCACACATACACACACACAGTGAAACACAGAGAAATTAATGAGTATAAAATTCACTTTTAGGCCAGACAAACTTTTAAGTATTTTAGTTTTTTTATACGATATAGAAATGTATATTCTTTTCATATAATTTGGCTAATTTAGCTTTGCTGCAACCCGCACACCCACCCACCAGCCACTGGGCCAAGCTCTGGACGCGCTTTCAAACAAAACTTAACTGAGTAGCGCGCGACGCTTTCAGCTGGTTTATATAGTAAACTTGTGTGAATTGCTTTTCATTATATACATATGTATGTATGTGTGTGGGTCGGGTCTCTCTGTTGATCTGTTACATCGATGTCGCGCCCAGTTTCCGTCTGGTCGGTAATCTTTTGGAGCACTCTATTATCAAAACAAGGGAATGGGGCGTGCTCAAATCGACCAGAGTGTCGAATTAGCTTGTAGTAAAACAAAAATACTATATGTATATATAAATGAGCTCAATAATATCGATCGCAAGCTAGAAGATCTGTATATAAAATATTTCGATTTTGCTTGAATATTAAGTACGTTCATAATGCTTGGAGAAAGTAAATTTCAGTTTGTAGCACTGATGACCATAAATTAGGCTAGGACAATATCAGATAAAAAAAATCAATTTGGAATTGGAGATATGATTGAATATAGACTCGATAGTAGAACAAGTTATGTAACTATTAATACAACATAGAACTCTTTGCCAAACTTCAGTAGAAACCTATACAATATACAGCTCTTATAATTATGCTCTTACGATTTACTTAAAGGAATTTTTATCTAATAAATATTCTTTTCTGAATGAGCTTTCCCATAACTAGTAACATAATATAATCATATAATCCTCTTAAAAGTGCCTATGCATGCATCGTTCAGATAAACAATCGTTCAGATAAACAATGATCCGCAGCTTTCTCAGATCCTCTTGTTTCATTTCATATAAACTTCTACTTCAGTCTCAAGAGCTCCAAATTCCAAAATCTTCAAATATCAAGGAGAAAAAACAAATTGCTGATCGTAATTGCTAAGCTGGCATAAATAATAAATAATTTCCACGAAGCCACATAAATCTTCAGGGCCAATAAACTTGTGTGGCTGAGTCATGTGCTTTTTTTTATGGTTGAATCTCCATTTTGGCACTTTTGAAAACTGAAATTTCATACCTAAAGCCCCACGACGATAGCAAATCACATACACAGCATAAATGAACGAAAATTTGGGCTCGTTGTATTATTACCGGTTGTCGAGCCCGCGAAACGAACTCAGCGTCGACTCAGCTCGTTTCACGTTATCTCCAATTCTCCAATTCTCCACTCAGCAGGGAGCACAACATGAAATTTCAGCCGCCAGCTAATAATATTGTTAGGTAGATATGGACCGACTCATATGACTGAACAAACAAATTGCGAGTGCTTTTTTAGGGCAATGCCCGCCGTCGCGATACCCTCCTGAACACAGCACAAACTAAAATTAACAAGAATACATAATTTTTTTTTTGAACTCAGAACAGAAAACAAAACGAATTTTTGGATAAAAGAGTACTAGGATTAGAAAAAACTTTCCAATATTAAGAAGTCTACATGGAAAGAAGTAGAATACTTAACATTTACAAGAATACCACAAAATTTACATTAATCTTAAGTAAAAATTCATCTAGATTCCCTAAGCGGCAGCTGAGCTGTTGGACACAAACACTTGCACAAACTTTGCAGGGTATATTAACTTTATGGATGAGCTTAATGTTCTGAATAGCAGCTGACTTGAAGATTTACAAGTTGATATATATTATATATACATATATATATATGTTTATAGTAAATATGCTTAGAGTGCCGCTCACGTTGCCTTTAGTTGATGTCGCTGCCGCTGTTACCGACTTGGCCTGCCGCTATCGTAGTCATTTGTCGAATGTGGAGTGACCTTCCCATGTCCATTGACTACGCCGCACTCATAGTAAATAGTGTATTACGAGGGTCCAAGTGTAGCACGACATACACCTGGACTGTACCTGTGCCTGTACCTCATACCGATTTACGGCTACAAACTAAACTTATTGAAGGGCTGCTCATTACGATAAATAATTCATTTTAGATCTATATCGAGAATCATGCGGTAATCGCCTTGTAATGTCCCAATGCTTCCTGATAAAATGCGAGGGTCGATCAGGTGGTGCTAAAATGGGTTCGTTAAAATGCATTGCATGAACTATGTAATTCACTTCGTTGCACTCTCAATTCGATTGCTGGCGACTTTGTTTATATGCAGTCGCATGTTGCAAGCGATTCCAATTGTTCTGTTCTGTTCCATGACCATTGCCAATTGATAAACCTCAATCAACTCTATAATTGTGCCATATATACATATATACAATTATTGCAGAGTTTTCTCAGTTCGAATTACCAGCTTTTGGATACTCTTTATGAAGGTTTTCTCGAAATGACTTTCAAATGGATAAACTTAAGTTCTTGGAACTTTCTATTTCACTCTAGTTACAATTTATCTTTAGTAGCATAAGTATTAAAGATAGTAGAGTATTAAACTAAATTGCCCGGTAATACCCTTTATACTACTTCCATACAAACTTGTTAGCAAACAGGTGAACGTGCTGCGAGTGTGAAATATTCCTGAAAGCTGTAGGCTATACAAGAACTTAGCTACCAAAACAAATGTATTGTTTTATGTAAATGTATACATATATGAATACACAAAGTCCACAGCATTATTAACCCCGTTTACCAATTTTAACTACAAGTAGAGCATTAAAAAGTACTTTCCAAACACATGTTGATATGATAAATATGTCATTGCCGATAGGCCACTATATATACGGCCCCACACACAAATACATACGCATACCCATACAAAGCATACATATGTACATATGTATATGTATGCCTGCATATTCATTAAACACCCACACAGCAAATAGTATTACCAAATTAGACAACTAATCTAATGATAAGATACTACTAAATACATATATTTATGCAAAATTTGTTATCTTGCAATAACGAAGCATTTCAGTTGCCCCAAATAGTTAAATAAAAATCAAATTTAGAACTACAAAGCAAATACCAAAAAATAGCATTAAATTATTCATATAGAATAGCATATATACATATGCACGTATATATATATATATTGTAAATACACACATACACAAGTGTCAAAATAAAAAAAAAATCCAACGCACATGGACTGTGCTCTATAAATACATGCATATAAGTGATGAATGGAAGAGTGGGGCGGATTTGGTATTGGTGGAGTGGTCGCTGCTGATGCACACACGCACACATGCACACAACTGTCGTTATTGGTGTGAATAGAAAGAGAATCACTGCGTAATCTAAGCATACGATCAAATCAAAAGTTGGTTATAAACCGCATATCAACAAGCAAGCATTCACACGGCCCACACATAACAGACACTCAGGCACACTCACTCACACTCACACACATATATTTTGCAGAAAAATGCGGTCGTTTTGCAGTATGGTTTAGAAACTTACCTGTCTACGTACAATGTATATCTTTGACTACAGCCGATTTTAAACGTACTTCACATGTGTCAATTACGAATTTGATTTGAATCGCTGCTGCACTTAGAGCGTAGTGATTGCATTGATTGAGTGCTGTTTAAGTTGGAGCTGAATGAATGTTAATACGGCAATCTATTAAACTGCACGAAATGGGGAGATAAGGGCTTTTGTTGATTCCGTTGCAGTAATCTTCTTTAATACAGTATTTGTATGTAGCATCAGCTAGAAGCAGCGGCGGCGTCGCTATCCGAGCGGCAATGGTATGAATTGGCTGGGATCAAAACCACGCACGAAAAAGGCACCAACACGTCACGCGCACAATCCTTCAGTGTTTGGGCTAATTAATGACGTCACGAGTGCTGCAGCTAATTTATTTTCGATATTTAAATAAATGCCGATTTACATTGCACGCCGCTCTAAGAAATTTGCAATTAACAAAAAAAATATCACTGCTTCTTCTTATATAATGCCATTCACATGACAAATGAGAACCGAATGTGTGAGTGCTGTTATGTTAAGCCAATGTTATGTTACGTGACTGTTAACAATATTTGTCTGTTCATATGTCCGCCAAAAAATATGAATCAAAGTACCTTTATAAATTGCATGACATTGTGAAATAAAAAAGATAAGATATTAAGAAATGGTTGAATTTAATGATAATATGCTTTATAATTTGAATGACAGACAAGTGCTTAATAGTATTTTTACTTAACAACATTCTTGTATTTTTACCATTGTTTAATAGGGCAACACTGTTCAGTTGCCAAACAAAGGCGTAAGTGCAGATGAGTAAATAAATTGTAACTTTTGCGCTGTTTGCTTGCAAGATGAGCTCCTGGCGTGAGAGTATAACCAATTTACCGACTGCAGTTGCACAATTTGTCAACGAAAGTACATCGACAGCTAGTAGCTATCTAAATTTGTCACATTCAAGCTCCACTGTCTCCGAGGAGAGTGCTCCACAGCATACGGACTACAAGGCGTTGCCCATTCCCGCATCTCTGGTGAAGGAACAGTGGCGCTTGATATTCACCTCAGATGCCAACAGCCAGGACTTACAGGCTGCCATTGCGCATTGTCGCGATCTTGTCCTGCTGAGTGATGAATGCAGTGAGGAACGTCGGTGGCTGGTGCGGCATTTGGTGGACTTGCGCTATTCGCTGCAGGAGCTGGAAGAGGCACAGGCGGTGGCCAACACGGATGTAGTGGTATTGAATGCCATTAAGTCGGTGGTGGGACACCATTTTGTACCACATCATCCAAACACACGTAACCGCCTACAGGCAGCTGCCAAACGCTACTATTGTGATCATTGTGCCGGGATTATTTGGCGAGTGGTGCAGGCGGCCTACATCTGCAGCGATTGCAGCTACCTGGTTCACCAAAAATGCATTGACAGTGTGCAGCGTGTGTGTGCTCATGTGCTGGCCTCCGATCGTCAATATCCGATTGCCGATATTTGCCCAGAGATTGGCTTAGCCGCCCAGCGTTATAAATGTGCCGAGTGCTCGACTCTGCTTAATTTCAGTAACTAGCAGAGCATCGTTATCTGTAGCCTACCAGCTAATCGGAAACATTTCTTGCAGAGAATTCCTGGATTGAGCCACGCCTCTGCGACTATCGCGGTCTCTACTACTGTCCTTCGTGCCACTGGAATGATAGCTTTATTGTGCCTGCTCGTATAGTGCACAACTGGGACTTTACGCCGAGGAAAGTCTCGCGAACCGGTCTCCAAGAGATTCAGTTGTTCCTTGATAAGCCGCTCATCCGTCTGGAGGAGGAGAACCCCAAGTTATTTGTCTTCTTAGAGAAGCTCTGTACTGTTAAGAAATTGCGTCAGAATCTGGTGCATATGCGACACTATCTAGCTGCCTGCAAAGACGCTGCCGAGCAGAAGCTCGTGGATCAACAGTTGGGCAGACGCCGACATTTAGCGCAGTCCAATGAGTTCTACTCAATTGGTGATCTAGTGCAGGTTGAATCGGGTGTCTTAGCTGAATTCCTGCAAGGCGTCTTCAAGGTCTTTGGCAGCCATATACGTAGCTGTGAAATGTGCCTAGCGAAGGCGTACATCTGCGAGATCTGCAGCAACAACGAAGTGATATTCCCCTTTGACGATGGCTGCATCAAGTGTGATCAATGCAATTCCATTTACCATCGTGTGTGCTTCACCCGGAAGAACATGATATGCCCGAAATGTGTGCGCATCCAGGAGCGACGCCTACAATTGCAACGTGATTTAAGCAAACAGTCGAAAAAGGGAGAGGATGAAAATGCGGAAGACTCTGACTCCGCCTTGGAACCAGTGGACACCACGTAACCCAACCACTTTAAAGTTTATTGTTTTTAATTTGTATCTGTTTAACGGTTTTTAATATGTTTTTATGTACATAATGATAAGACTATATTGCAGCAGCGAGTGCCCAATATATATATATATATAGTATATACAATACCAATACCAGTCTTCCTCTATAGACTGCTCACTGCGCTTTCTTTCCATACTTTTGCCGATTGTGAAACTTGCGCGGATTAATGCCGTAGGCCTTGAGCCGATCATCGCTGATGCCGTTGGGATTAGAATTATTCGCTTTGCCTTTGGTTTTAAAGTCTCGCTTAGAACGTGGTGCTTCGCTTTTATTGCCTGCTTTCTTAAATGGATTTGCGCCTGTTGATTGAGCTGGTTGCTGTCCTGGAGCATGTTGCTTTCTTGAAACTTTTTGCTGTCCTGGAGCTTGTTTCTGCCTTGGACCTTTCGGAGGCCTTGAGGCTTGTTGCGGCCTCTGAGTTTGTTGAGGCCTTGGAGCTTGTTGCTTTTTGAAAGGATTGCTGTTTGCATCATTTCCCTTGACATCATTTTTGTTAAGCACTTGTTTTTTAGCAAATGGATTGTTCGAGTTGTCCTTGTTTGCCACCTGTTTATCTGTTTGCGGCTTCTGTTTTTCGAACTTTTTCTTTTTAGCTGGCGGTGTTCCATTCGTTGCAGCCGGCGCCCCATTCGCTTCATTCGAAGTCTTCAGTGCCTGCTTATCCTTTTCAATCTTCTGTCTTTTGGCAGGTATTTCACTAGATGTTGCTTCTTCCTTCTTGATAAGAGCTGAACTCTCCTGCTCCTCATTCTTAACTGGAGCTGGGGCTGTTGCACTTGGTGTTGCCGCTGCAGCTGCAGCTGCCGCTTTTCTTTTTAGCCGTTTTCGCTTGGACTTCGATAGGGTTTCTGTGGGCAGCTTTTCTGCAGCTGGCGCAGCAGGCTGCTCATTGGAGTCCGCTTTAACAACTAGTTGGGTTCCATCTTGTGCACCACTTTCCTCTTCATCATCGGAGCTGCAAATATGCTTAGTCTTAGCACAAGATTTTTTTTATTGTTCATACTCTTACCCATCGCCGTATAAGCTTTTGAAAATCTTTCGCTTAAGATCCTCGTTCTTGGCTTTCATCTTGTACAAGCGCTGCTCTCTTTTCTCCACATGTTCAGGACGGTTTTGCACAGCCTTCTTAAGACTGGCCCACTGGTTGAGTTCCTTGTTCTTAGCCAACAGGATCTGAAAGTATAAAAAGATTAAGATCCTTCTAGCAAGACATTATTATTCATCACTAACCTCCTCGATTGTTAAACCAAAATCATTCGGCGTCGTCTCCACGTACTTAAAACGACAAGGTTGGTCGCCCACTATGTCCTCATAGTCCAGTTTGTAGTATTCATCAATATAGTCACCATAAGTCTGTTCGTCATCTGGATTAAACGGCGGTTTCTCTGCTTGAATCATTTCCATGAAACGATTGCGTCGTCCCTTGCGACCTTTTCGACTCCGAGTATTTTCGATCAGCTCCTGTTGCAGTTGTTGCTTGGAGGAGACTGGATCATAATCACAGTCCATATTAAAATCATCGTCTTCGCAATGGCCCTCGTCATCCTGCCCGTTGTATTGCTTTGGATCGTAGTTATCCCAGTCCTCAATTGCCAATTCTTCAATATCTGAAGGACACTCTGGCTTTTCTTCGCCCTCATCCACTTCGTAGTACTCATCATTGAATATTTCCTGCATGCGTCGATCGTGTGCTTCCGGGTCGAAATCCTCCTCCAGTTCCTCATCCTTAAAGCCCAGCTCATCGTTACCCGTAACTGCCTTTAGTTTGCGTATTTTCTCTTCAATCTCTTTGCGTTTCATTTCCTTGATCAAATCCAATTCCTTCATCTTTTGCAATTTCTCCTGCTCCTTGCGCTGCTTTATCTCCTTACGTTTTTCCTTGCGTGTATCGTCCTTGCGACGAAGCGACTGTTCAATTGTCCTTGGATAACGCTTGATAAAATCTGCATCTGGCTCCTCGAAACGAAAATTGTATTTCTGCTCAAACTCCGCCTGTTTCTCCAGCTCCTTCTCGTCATCCGACAATGGTGTGCTCTCTCCCACGATCTCGTCGTACGTAGGAATTTCGGATTCATTCGTGTTGGCATAGCCCTTATTGAGTATGTAGTCACGCAGAAAACTCTCTCCTTGAGTCAACTTGTTGCTACTCCAGTATTGCTTGAGTGGAGCCAACTGTTGCTTTGCGTTTGCGTCAATCTCTGCATCCGCCTGCTTGCCGGCCAGCCATTTAGCAAAGTCTGCGTCCTCGGTATCGGTTTGCGCCTGAGTTTTGGTGCGCTTCTTAAAGATGCCACCAAATTCCTCATCTTCTTCGTCATCATCTTCACGGTTCATAACGCTCTTGAACTCTGCCTTGAGACGTCTTTCCTCCTCCACAGCTGTGGGCGACTGCGCCCGCTCGAATTGTTTTTCCGTCTGTGCCTCATCGTCCGAGCTCTCAAATTTTCCATTGTGCTCCAAGATAACTTTGCGCTCGTAATCTTTTAAGGTTACCGGTTTACTCTTGCTGGATTTCTTTTTGGGTGCATCTTCATCGTCGTTGCTTTCGCTGTCCGCCTTTTCATTGAAGAAACGTGTTTCCTTGTCGTATATGCGAGGATCTTTGCTTTTTAGCGAAGCAAGAGTTTTGAAAAACTCTTGATCAAACTTAACATCCACTTCATCCTCATCGGAGGACTCGCTATCGCTGTCTAGCTCCGACTCTGAGATATCTAGACCCCGATCCTTATCTGAAAGAAGCCACAATATTAGAAACATCTAAAGAGATCTTCGCATGAAAGATCAATAGGTATTTTACACTTCTGTAACAGCTCCTTTTTGCGCAAAACATTATACGAGTTGGCATAGTCCTGATTAGTAGATAATTGTAGATCGTCCGCATCATCGTCAGAGCCATCAAACAATTTGTTATTCATTATAAACAATAATTCTTTAACGTTTATTAGTAAAAAGCCAGCACGTGTGTTCGTTGAGTAAACTAAACTGGTTCTATAGAATAAAATGAGCTGGTATTTCTGAAGTGCCGAAAATAACCAGTTCCGGTCTAGTTCCCGCTGCAGCCCTGGTTAAAATAATTCTTAAACAAAAGGCAATAAATGCAGAGCTGATTAAAATACAAAATATAAAATTAAATAGCGTGATTTACAACATTCCAAACAATGACGGACACGGAGGAACCGCAAGCTCCCACAACAACATCAACGACATCCGTTGCAGCACCCCCCGACAAGGATTCAGCAAAAAGTAAGATGCAGCCATTGCTTCCTCGAACACCTGCTCACTGCACAATGTTTTGTTTTTCTTATCGCTTTTAGTTTGCATTCTGCTAAACGCAACTGGCAACGTGCCCATTATAAAGAAACGCACATGGACCGTTGATCCCAACAAAACAGTCAGTTGGATACAGAAGTTTATACACAAATTCCTCAAACTCGATGCCAACGAACAAATTGTACGTATACAAGCGGATCTTTCTAAACTTCCCAGTTTTTAATTCATATTTTGATTTGAGCAGTTTTTATATGTAAATCAAACATTTGCACCTGCGCCGGACCAGATCATCAAAAACCTGTACGAATGCCACGGTACCAATGGTAAATTGGTTTTATACTATTGCAAGAATCAAGCATGGGGCTAAACCTGGATATGCGGGTGGCTACTTAAATAAGTATTTATTTGTTAACTTTTATGTTTATGTTATGTTAATTGTATAGGAATTGACGCTGGAAAAATCTTATAAATTTCACATTTTTATTTCCCTCAAAGAGAGGTCTTAATTACGTCTATTAAAGGACCACATTTGAAAACAATTTCGTGTATTCAATAAGATTTAAATAGGCTAACGGCTTAGTCGCCACGCAGTGCTTCCAGCTCATCGGCTGCCTCCTTGGATATTCTGTGATATTTGGCTACAGATGGGCGATAATAATAGGCTTGGTAGTCGTTGCGTTCGGACATCTTTTTGCGAATCTCTTCCTCGAGCAGGCTGTGGAGGTAATTGTTAACAATGCAGACTGTATTGGGTTTCTATAGTCTTACCGAAGTTGCGCCTTTTCGTTCTCTTCAAAGATGTTGTGCAGCGCTTTCTCGTATTCCTGTTGCTGCGAGGTTAGAATATACCGAGCAATAAACCGGGAAATTGGATTCTAAAAAAGCGAAACACACATTTAATATGAGCAAGTACAATAAAGATCACGTTAACAGCACCTTCTCGTATTCCCAATGCTTGGGTTCGTAGCCTTCAGGGATTTCGGCCAACTGCGAGGGTCCCACGAAGATGTTTGCATATAACACCAGAGCGGTGATCGGCAGTACGCCAATCATTACGTAAAAGTGCATTAGATCCTTGAATTTGTCCCATTGAAAGCGTGAGGGCTTAATGGTCATGTGATGGTGTTCATGATCACCTCCCATTCGGCGCAATTGCTGCTGCAGGGCTAAAATGGAGATCCATGGAAACATATTTGTGGTTGCGTAATGCAGGCTGTGTTTACACCCTCATCTGATGCATTCGCAGTTGTGCTTACCATTCCTTGTGGCAGGTGTCAGCAGTACAGCCCTATTCTTGGCGAATTGTGCCGCTGGCAGCAGCAAACGGCTCCAACCAACCATTTTTATGAAATTTTACGCTATTGTGCTTTATACCAAAATAACGTGAACGTCGGTCAGTCAAAACAAGGGCTGGCGTAGCAGATATGTTTTATATATCGATACCATCGATTGCAACTTGACGAAAGTTTTATTTATTTGTAATCTTAAATAATAGAATAAATAATATATAATAAGAAATGTATCATCTTTTCGTATGTGATATTTATTAACATGATAACTATTAAATTGAAAAGTGATATCATTACCATTTACTCTGCAGCCCTGACATATGGCATTGCTTTATTACTTGCCAGCCCTGCTCTGGCGCAGAGTTAAACATACAAACTTTTTGTCTGGACTCGAAATTCTGTTGCGATTTTGTTTTTGGAATATTTTGAAGATTAAACGTTATA